ACTGAGCCATTAATCTGAGACTTGAACCCCGAACTGCTTGAAGGTATTTAAAACCCCACATGTAGCATTCAGATTAATCCTTGCATTAAAAGCAAAGCAGTCCTTGTTTGGGTGCTGTATAATGCAGAAGCAGGGGGAAAGCTCATCTGCCTGGACTATGCACCCACACCCAAGTGCTTTCATTATTTCTGCAGAGGGAAAGAGTATTCACGGCTTTTTGTAGGAGGAGTGATTCACCAGGGAAACCATTACAGTTTCATTGATTTGAGAACAGCCTTCCCTAGGGCAATGTGCTCAGTTGTCACCAGTGACTCTTTTTAGCAGTGTTGTGTTTCTTGGTCTCAAAAGTGAAATGCAGCACCTGGTTCTGTGAGATCAAATTATTTGTACCTCTGCCAGGTATGACTTTAAGCACAGTACAGTGCTGAGAATACAAGGGTTTCCTTCATGGTAGTGGAAAACAACCTGTGTTAATGGAAGCTGGCCATTTGTCAAACAATTTTTCTTGCTTTTGGTTTTGGATTTAGACTCCTGAAGAGGAGGAAATACTGAACAAGAAGCGTTCAAAGAAGATCCAGAAAAAATACGATGAGCGAAAGAAGAACGCCAAGATAGCAAGTATTCTTGAGGAGCAGTTCCAGCAAGGAAAGCTACTTGGTGAGTCCCTGGCAGCATTAATGTAACTTGTTCTTTAATCTTCTCCATAGATACCCCACTAGTGGCAGGATGGGGAAGTCTGGCTAGCCAGGCTTCTGTAGTTGATTATTCCTGTTGGGGCTTTGAGAAGGAAATGGGGCTCAAGATTAGCAAAATGAGCAGATGTGTGTCAGAAAAATGTGCCGCAGGCATCTAAGAGCTTTGATGTTTCAAGCTCTGGCAAACATTTGAGTGTTCTGAAGTCTTCTGGTGATGAGACCTTTGTCCAGTTCTGCTACTGAACCCGAGCGATGACAGTTTGGAGATCTGAGGAGGACTTCACTGGGGACTGCAGCTTCCAGAGCACGGTGCCTCCGGCAGAGGTGCTGCTCAGGCACAGGACCTGGTGACTCGGTCACTGATGAGCCACTCGTCCGTGCTGCTGCAGAGGCTGTGTGCAGTGTGTGTTCTTCGGTGTGTGCACTGCGGTGGGGAATTGCCAAACTTTAACTGGGTGGCTTCTCTCTCCTTGCAGCCTGCATTGCCTCCAGACCTGGACAGTGTGGCCGAGCCGATGGCTATGTGTTGGAAGGCAAGGAATTAGAGTTCTACTTGAGGAAGATCAAGGCCAGAAAAGGCAAATGAATAAAAACTGTTGTGCTAAGAGAACGAATAAAACCAAGAGTCTGCCACCATAACAGGTTGTGTGCTCGTTTGTGTGTGCAGTATGGAGGGGTCTTCTGTAGCTCCACCTGCCTTGTAAAATGTGAAGGAAGATGGAACTCCAGGAATCCCTGAGCCCTTTAACATCTTCAGGCAAAACTTGACCCTGCACGTGCTCAACTAAAACATCTCAGTGGGTTCTAAGTGACTTGCAGGACCAAGTGTGTGTGTGAAAAAGAGTTGTCAGATTTGACAGAAGTGGGGAATGTCCAATACTGGAAACCTGTGAGCAGGAGGTAGGTGCAAGTGTGCACCCCTGTTAAAACTTCTGGGTTCTGAGGTCTGTGCACACTTCCCCCTTGTTCCTGTGCTGTGTTAGGTTAACAGGTGCTAACCCGTGTGCTCATGGGGTGTTGGAGAGGTCAGTGGGGAAATGGGCTAAGTCTGGCTGAAAACTTGGCTGTTATGCCTTCAGCCTCTGCAGCTGGTAGCTCATGTCTCTGCCTTCCACATTTCATGAGCTCTCATCCCCTGGTTCAGGTCAGCAGCCCCTTTTGGTGTTTCCTGCCTGGTTGTACAATTCTCTGCAGGATCCAGTACCTTTTAACCAAACTAGGTGGCACTGCTCAATGACCAGCTGGTCTTCCCCTGACCTCCTTGGTCTCATTTCAGTGCAAGATCGATTCCTTCTAGCAGAAGGGCCAGGCTCACATCATGGTCTGTCCCTTTCGAAAGCTGGATACAAATTCCAGCTTAGTGCCCTGTCACTTGTGGTGGAATTGGAAAGCTGTGGTAAACAAAAGCATTTCTGGATGTTTTTGGTGATGCCATTCCTAGAGGTTCCTGTCCTTAAGGAAGGTAAATCTCTGCGAATAGCTGTTCTTTGTGCAGGTACTGGGGGAAGTCAGGAGCTCATCTGAGGGCTGGTCCTGTGCCATGGGGCGGGCCAGGCTCACACACTTTGTGCCTGTCAGGTGAACAGACTGCACATTTCATCCCATTTGTGTGTTTTCACAAAAGCCTCATTTATCCATTGGATCACTGGTTCAAGTCAGGCTTCCTGCAGCCCCAGCATCACAATCTTTAGCTCTGAACTGAAGGGAGGTGGCCCGTGATCATCTTACCCAAAGGAGAGTTGTAGTGAGACCAACGTCTCATGCTTCAAAAATGCAACTGTCCCTCTAAATAGTTTGCAGGGAGGGGTTTAAGTTTTTTTCCTGTGGTGCTGTGCCGTGTTTGGCAGGTGTAACAGCAGGAGGTGCCCTGGGGAGTGTGGGTTCATCCTGTGTTTGCTGGCAGGGAGGTGAGCATGAGTCAATGCCAGTGCTGAGCACTGCAGAATGGTACCTGCTGCAGAATGGTACCTGCTCTGGTGACCGTGGCACTGGCAGTCCCTCACAGGCTGGCTCTGTGCTCCTGGGCACTGTGAGCAGAGCTGAGCCCAGCTGGGTGCCACTGCAGTCCCAGAGTCCCTGGCAGTGGGACCTGGGCTGGGTGGGATGTTTTCACAAGCACATTCCTTTTCCATAGTGATCCGGTGTAAACTTTCCCTGCTCGCCTGCTTTCCAGAGAGGTGGAGTGGAGGCGATAAGCACGCTTGGCAGGGATGTGTCATTGCTGCTTCCTCTGAGCGTGTTTCTTCTCTCCGTCATCCTCTGTAGAATGCAAACAGCATTCAGGGTGTTTCTGGGGAACTTTGTACAGATGGAGAAACTCTGACTTTATCGAGCAAATGCTGGCTTGATGTCAGGGCAGGATTATAAACCTGTCCCCTGATGAACAGGATTATGGCTCATCAATGTGTGCTGTTTAGAAAGTTACTACTCTGAGAAAACACAGCTGCCAAGGGCAACTGCCCACAGGAACAAAAGTGGCACCTGCAGGTGTGACATGGGAACAGAGCAGTGGCAGCAGGCCGGGGTGTGTGGCACTTCACTCCCGAGGTGGTGCAGCTGTGGCATGCACAGCCCTACGGATGGCACAGGGATTTACCTGCCTGGGAGTGGGCAAACCTGCTATGCACTGAGCCAGGAAGTGATGGGCTGGGGCTGGGGTTAAGCACAGCTTTAGCCTGGCGAGAATTCAGAAGTGCGAAAGCCTAGGCGGAGGACCTTACCCACTTCTGACAGGTGGAGGGTCTGAATTTTAAAAGAGTTGGTTTCACAGGATGATCAGCTGCAGCATAAGCCAGGTGAAGTCCCTTGTTATGTGTCCTGCTCCTTGCTGTTGAGTGGTTCTCAGCTCCACACAGTATTAACTTTGGGGTATTTTCACAGGACATGATCCAACCCAGGAAATGACCTTGTGGTTCCATTTCAATAGATCCAGCAGTGACCTGGAAGGCAGTGCAGGAGAAGCAGGGCTGGCTTGTTGAGGGACTTTGTCAGCCTTAAAAGAAGGGGGACTTGAAGGAAAGGGAGTTTTAAACTAATATTCTTGGGGAAAACATGTGTCTGAGTGTGCCAGGGCTGTCACAGACAAAGAATAGGGAACACTGGGTTTGGTCACACCTCCCTGCGCCTGTCACAGATGGAGATTTGGGTGGGGGCTGCAGGTACCAGAGCAAGGGCTGGACAGACCCACTGGGATAATTTGGGTCACTCCCTTTGCATCAGCCATGGCATCTGAATTTAGGCTTCATGAGAAGGAGGGAAAGGACAGGATGTTACATCATTCCCAGCAGCCCTGGGAATGGGACCCCAGGGTACATGAGCAGAGAGGGCACCCATGGAAGGGCTGTGGGCATTTCTGGAGCACAGGTGAGAAATGCAGCTGTTGTTAGCCCTAGTCAAAATCTGCAGCCCCTGGAGACAGCTGCTAACCCTGGCTGTCCTGCCTTTGCCCTGTGGCAGCTTCTGGTCCCTCTGTCCCTGTGGGGATGTGGGGGTGGCATGAGCCAGGGTACACTGAGATACGCTGGCTGTAGTACTTGGCACAGAGTGGTGAAGGGATATTAAAGGCTGGGATACTTTCCCAGGGCCCAGGAGGGAGCAGAGAAAGAAGTCCAGCTGGATATCAAACAGGGGGAAACATCCATGAGTGGCAGGAGACATGAAGGGGAACCATCCTATCCTTGTCCCCAGGCCATGTGGGGCTGGGACTGAGCAGTCCCACCACGGGCTGCTGGAAGCCCCGAGCACTCTGCAGGAAACGCCACTTCCTTTGCCGGCCGGAGCACCGCGTCCTGCCCTGCCCAGCTCCCTCCCTTCCTGCCTGGGCACCAGGCCCAGCACGGCTCCAGAGCAGGCAGGGTGGCCAATGCAGCTTCCAGCCTGGAGAATGTTCCCCTGGGCAGGAGGAGCAGGACTCAAGGGTGCCCCCCTGCATCTGCAGAGAAGGGCTGGAGCACCATGGGGGAGACTTGGGGGTGCCTGTATTGGGCACTGATTTACAGCATCCCCAGCCTTCGCCCTGCTCCCAGGAGCCCCACAAATTCTTGCTTTGTTCAGGATCTGTGGCATTTGCAGCAGGCTGACGCCTTCCCCACCCCTGCTGTAAATCCTGGTACAAAGCAGAGGCTCTGCTGGCCTTTAGCCAGTGCCCAGCTCTGCTCTGCCAGAGCGACTAAGAGGCTCCAGGGATGCTGGGCAAGACCCTCACTGGGCCATCATCCAGGGCAGGGGAGGGTAGATGGGATAGGAGTGAAGTCCACCATCCCTGCACTCCCCACATCCCCAAAGCACAAAGGGATGGAGCCACACTGCCAGGAGTAAAATGATATATTTCTTACTGAGAGCTGGATCCTACAAAGCTGTCTGCAAGGGGCCTGATGCCCCTTGTTTGATGCACACTCTGTGTGTGCACGTCACACACCCACTCCCATAAGTGTGCACACACACACACCATGAAGCAGCACATGTGCATTGACTGTTTCAAGTCCCTATGCCACTGTGGGGTGTGGGGTGGGCAGCAGGCAGAGCCACCACAGGCTTCCCCTGACAGGCCCAGGGCACCCCATCCAAACGTGACACCCCCTGCACACCACACAGGCAGGGCCAGCCCTGTTTAATTCTCCAGACCGTGTTCTGTGCAGGTTGGAGAGCAGCACGTCTGTGCCAGACACCATCTGGCTCCAACAAGAGAAGAAGCTCTGGTCAGTGAGTCTGACACTCACAGCATCATCACTTGATCCCCAAAACCAGCCCCCACCTTCCCTGCATGTCCTTCCTCAGGCACCACCAGCCTGTGGTAGGGTCTCCAGAGCCTGAAGCACCCTTGCAGCCTTGCCCAGCTGCAGCACATGGCAAGCGAGGGATTCACACGATAGCACAGGGGAAGGGATGGGTATTTGGGGGTGCAGCTTTGCAAACAGCCACTGTCAGCCACGGCAGGACAACTCATGCCTCCCCTGCTCTGGTGGCTTTCACTCCTGCCCAGCCCCTGCCATCCTACTGGTGTGTCCAGACACAGCCCAAGTCCTGGCATCAGTGCAGGTCGATGGTCTCGTACTCCAGGTTGTCTGAGTCCTCCAGCTCGATGCCGGGTACCAGGTTGTAATAGCTGGTTGTGTGACTCATGTAGATCTTCTCCCGGTCAGCAGAGTCCTTCAGGACTTCACTCACGCTGACAGTGTCCACCTCTGGCTCACTGCCCAGCTCCTCCGCCCTTGGTGCTGGGGTGCCCAGCTGCCCTTCATGGGATGGCACCTGGGAACTGCTGGGGGATCCCACCTGGATCTCCACCTCCTCATAGATGTCTCTGCCACTCTCCAGTGGATCCACGAAGGGCTGGAGCACGACCTGCTTCCCCAGCAGCACTTTCTTCTCGGTCTTGGAGGGAGCAGCAGGCAGCTCATAGGGGATGTAGTGGTGAGGCTCTGCAGACACTGGCACGTTGCTCCTCTCTGCCGTGGCCCGGTGGCTCTGGGACCTGCCCTGAAGGCTGTAGTTGGTCTTTTTCTTCTGCCGGCAGAAGCACCAAGTGATGCTGGTGAGGATGAGGAGAGGGGGCAGGCAGATGAAGAGGGCGGTGAGGCCGTGTGAGCGGCACAGCTCATCCCGGGGGATGCTCTGGAGCCCCACACCGTGGTAGTGCTCTGGTGTGTGGCAGATAACCTCAGCAGCCTGGCTGGACCAACCCTCCAGGTTGGTCAGCAAAGCACAGCTGCAGTCCCAGCTGTTGTTGGAGAGCTGAAGCTGGAGCAGAGATGGTTTCAGGAGGCTGGCAGGAAGAAAGGTGAGAGCGTTGAAGCCCAGGTAGACCTCCTGGACCTGGGAAGACGCTTTCAGGAAGGACCTGGGTAGCTCCTGAAGCTGATTGCTGTCCAAATAAAGAACCCTCAAATTAGGGGCATTTTCTAGAAAGCTTCCAGGGAGACTTTCCAGCAGGTTGTGACTTAAGTGTAAGATTTCCAAGGCAGGAGGGACTCCCTGTGCGTTGCTGATGGCCGTGATGCTGCAGTGGGAGAGGTAGAGCTCCCGCAGCCCCTGCACCCCCACCAGTGCACCCCAGTCTAGGTGGGTGATGTTGGAGCTGGTGAAGTTGAGGCAGCAGCTCTCAGGGAGCGGAGCCTCCCGGAAAGCCTGGTAGTCCATGGGCTCCGAGCAGTTGCAGATTGGCGGTGCTGGGCGGAGGGCGAGGCCGGCAGCGAGCAGGAGGCTGCCCCAGAGGGACGCGGTGCCCAGCGCGGCGCCTGCGGGGACAGAGAGGGGACGGTGACTCCCTGTGCCACCTGCCCTCCCGCTCCCTTTCTCCAGCCTTCCCGGCGGGGCAAAGTGAACCCCACTTCTCCTCCCCGCCGCGAAAGGTCCTCCCGGAGCCGTCCTCCGGTGCCACCGTGCCCGGTCAGCCCGGGGCTGCCTCTCCCGCCGTGTCCCGCCGCTCCGGCCGGGTGCCCGCGGGCAGCGAGAGACCCCCGGAGCCACGGCCGTGCCCCCGTGCCCTCCCGGGCTCACCTGCCGCCGCCCGCCCCATCCTCCGGGGCTGCTCCGCGTCCCGTCGCGCTCCCACGGGCGCGGTCGCCGGCTCCGCCTCGCCGCGGGGCGGCCCCGCCACATCCCGCCCCGGCCCCGGCCCCGTCCGGCCCGGCCCTGGTCGCCCTTCAGCCCCCCAGCCTCTTGCAAGGGTCCCGCCAGCCGTGGGCCTGTGCAGCGGTACCCCCAAATTACGCTTGACCCAGCTCCCCTGCAGTCAATCAAGCCGGGGTGCCCCCTTATTCTGCCCTCCTCCATAAGCCATTCCTTCATCACCCTTCCCCTCTGCATTCCCCAGAATGTCCCTTCCCAACCTCTCCCTCTCTACCCGCTCTGCCCTGCCAGAAGCCATGTGTCCCTCCAGTCCTGTCTTTACTCCATCATCAGCCCCCCAAGCTCCTGGAAAGGGGCTGGGCTGGGCTCTGCTGGGTTTGTCTTTCTCCTGGGACGGGGAGAGGGCTCTGCCCGGCTGGGTGCAACTGCCAGCTCCACTGGGGAAGATGCAGAGAGGACATTCTTGCCGGATGGGGACCAAAAGGGCCAGCATCACACTCCATCACTGGACCCCTTATGAATTCCCTCCATCCCACCCAAGTCCCAGGCCAGTAAGGAGGAGAAGAGTCAGACATGAGCTCTGCAAAGCATGATCATCCCTCAGAAAAGCAGTGCTGGAGAGGGGAGCTCTGTTTTCACATCCTGAAAGTGCATGTGTGCTCACTACAAGGTGAATTGGGTAAACTGAGGCACACGGCATGTACCAGCAGCTTTTTGCTTGGGTACCGATGTAGATGGGTAAGACAGGACCTGGGCTGAGCGTGTCCAGTACTGTGGTGCCTTGTGCCCCAGTTTCTGGGGTGCCTTGGCCCCTGTTGGTGCTGGTTCTTCCTTCCCCAGCTCACCCAAGGGACCAACCACCCTCTCCATCCTCCTCCTTGGTGGCTGCAGCCTCATGCTTTGCAGAGCTGTGCTGAGGGATGGGAACACCCCACTCCTGAGGGGGTCAGGGCTGTCACCCCAGTCTTGAGGAGCTTGTCTGCACCCCGATGCTTGGCTGGTGTTGCTCTTGCAGCCCAGGCACTGCATGCAGGGCACACAGCAGTGCCCTGCAGCTGCCCTGATAAGTGAGCTGGCAGCTGGTTCAGCTCCCCTGCTCCTGGTGTTGCTTGAGCATCGCTGAATGCCACGAGGGTGGGGGCACCAGGCCGGGGCTGAGTATCATGGAGGACAGAGATCCCACAGCCTCTCTGGGCTCCTGTGATATTTTACCACATGCACAAGGGGAAGAAGTTTCCTAATATCTAGATGGAATTTCCCTTGATGCAGCTTGCATTGCGTTCCTGTCATGATTTTACTGTACGCAGCCCCAAAGAGCCTGACTCCCTTTTCCTATAACTCCACCTAACTAGCTGCAGGCAGTCAGGAGTTCACCCCAGAGCCTCCCCTTCCCCAGGACCAACAGGCTGGTGACCTTAAACCACAGCTCCTCCCACTGCCCCAGATCAGTGACGGGAAACCCTCACTGATGAGGGTTGTGATGAGATGCTGTGCATGGCAGCTGCAGGTGCGGGGTCTGCTCCCAGGCTCCATCCCTCCTGGAGAGGAGGTGCCTCAGCCCTGGCAGGACATGGGCTGTGGGACACATCCCTTGCCCAAGAACTCACCCAGAGGCAGTGGGGAGCAGGAGCACAGACGGCAGCTCTCAGTCCTCGCAGCTCCCCAGTGTCCCTCTGTGGGAAATCCCAGGACAGTCCCTGTCTGTCACATCATCCCCAGACAGGTCCCCCGGGGCCTCCTGGGTGCCTCCACCCACACATTGCCTTCAGACGCTGACTCAGCTCCGGAGCTGGGGCCTCCATCGGAAAACCTGTGATGCCACCGGTGCCCGGGGAGCCCCGGGGCTGTGATGGAAACAGGCAGCTTCCCTCGGGGGCAGCAGCATCCCGGCCTGCTCCTGGGCCATGTCTGCTGATGGGCACTGAGTTTGTGTGTGCTTCCCCTACAAAAGCTGGAAACACAAAAGAAAAAAAAAACCCAGTCAGATCTGTGTTGTTTCCTCTTTGTCTTCGGGCAGGTTTTCTCAGTTTTTCTGCAGAAAAAAAAATTGAGTTAATTTGTCCCCAGTACTCTGGGTTGAAAGGGGATGTGCTGGGAAGAACGGGGCTGTTTTCTGGAGTGCTCATATAAAACCATCAGCATCTTCTGGAGCACAGTGAGCATCAGTGGCAAGAGCCCTGAGCAGCAGTGGGGAGAAACTGAGGCACAGGGCACGGGATGGTCACAGAGTCACCCTGTGTGTGCTGTGAGCAAGGGAAGGACAGCGGGAAGATTGAGGGGCTTTTGCTACACTGCTGCTTCAGACTCGTGGGGGTTGCGGGTTTGCGGCCACCTCTGCCAGCTCCCGCGCCCGTGGGGAAGGAGAGAGGCCAAGCACCGCCCTTCCAGGACCCGTTTCGGGTGGCAGAGCGGCGTGTGCTCGTCGCGGCCATTAGGGAGCAGCACCGGCCACCGCTGCTCGCCCTGCACAGCCAGGCCACCCCCAGCAGCAGCACAGCCTCGCCCAGGCACCGAGGGGCGAGGATGGATCCCATCATCTCTGCATCTCCCGCTGGTCCCTGTGTGCCCAGCGCCCCAGCTGTGCCCCCCTCTGCTGGCACAGAATGAAAGGCTCTTGGGGAGTGGCCACCTGCACCCAAGTTTGTCATAAGGCAGGAAGGGACATGTCAGGGCCCACAGGAAACACAGGGGCTTTGAAAACCCTCCCTGAGCCGCAACCTTTCCATGGGAAGGAGATGTGAGGACCGCAGCTGGGCGTGTGACACACCTGTGAGGGGAAACACCCTGCGAGTAGGTGTTTTCTGTATGTGTATTTACAGATGTGCAGGGGAGGGGGCTGTGTATGTCCTGGGAGACAGGGGACGGAGCTCTGCGCGTCTGCGGGGTCTCAGTGTGACCGTAGGGGAACGCCGAGTCAAGGGAGGTTGTCCCTGTCTGTAGGAGGGGGATGCAGCTACTGGGGGACATCCCGGTGTGCGCAGCGGAGGCAGCGAAGCGCTGACGGGTGTCACAGCTGGCAGCGGGACGCCCCCCGCACATTCCCGGAATCCCTCCCCGGTGCTGCGGCCCCTTTAAGGGCGGCACGGGGCCGCCCGGGGGCGGAGCTCCGCCGGTGACGTCACCGCGGCCCCTGATAAAGGCGGCGGGATTCCCGGGGCGGCAGCGGCGGCGCGCGCCGGCGGGGCCACGTGCGCGGGGCGCGGCGGAGCCCCGGCCGAGCCCCGGTACCCTCCCGTCCTCCCGCGCCGCCATGGACTCCGCCGGCCTCTTCCCGCCTTTCCCCGCCGCCGCCGCCTTCCCCGCGCGGCCCGCGCCCGCCCCGGCGCCCCCGCCCCGCGCGGCCGAGACCACCCGCATCATCACCGACCCGGTCTCCGGCCGCTCCTACTGCAAGGGCCGCCTGCTGGGAAAGGTACCGGCAATGGGGAAAGGGGGGCTGGGCCGTCGCGGGGAGCGGCGGGGTGAGCCGGTGGGGACGAGGGGAGGGGCGGGGGCTGCGCGCCTGCTCGACCCCCCCCCCAGCCCGGGCCGCCCGGGGCTGGATGCAGCCCCTCGGCTGCCGCCCGCCGCCCCCACCCTCCCCGCCTCGCCCGGCGGGCCCGCAGCAGCGCTGGAAGCCGTGAATCACCCGGGCTGGCTGCGTGCCTTGGCGGCTATCGGAGCCGCATCGGTTTCGGGGCGCCCCGCGGGGTGTGCGTGGGCCGGTGGGTGCCCCGGTTCCCAGGGGTGCCGGCTCGCACCGCTCCGCCGCGCGCAACTTTTCCTCCGGCTGACAGCAGCGTGTGTAGGAGGAGGATGCCGGTTCCCAGCCCGGCCCGAGTGGGCTCAGCGGCTGAGTGTGCAGATTGGAGGGTGACATCACGGCAGGAAAAACCTGTCTCCATGGGGCTGCCTTGCGATGGCCTCCGGTCCCCGGGCTTCCTGCCCTGCGCAGGACTTTCCAGGTTGATCTATCATGTGGAAAGATGCAAAGTCCGGCCGTAGTGGGAGGGAAAATGCCCTGGAGGTTTTACAAGAAATGGGTAAAGAAAATGCCTGGTTGAGAGCATCATAGTTCAGATCTTAGTGGGCGACGCAGCAGGAGGGAGCGTGTGACGCTGCCAGGGAAAGGGAGGAGGAGGCTTGTAAGCAGACAGGGGTGAGGAGCTGTCTCTCACCCATCCGTAACCACCTCTTCCCTTGCAGGGTGGGTTTGCACGATGCTATGAAATGACAGACCTCTCCAGCAACAAAACCTATGCCGTGAAGGTCATCCCGCACAGCAGGGTGGCTAAACCTCACCAGCGGGAGAAGGTGGGTGCCATGCAGCTGGTGGGGTGCTGGGCTGCTGGGGGGCAGCAGCTCACCTGTGCTCACCTGACACTGCTGCTCTCTCTCAGATCACCAATGAGATCGAGCTACATCGGGACTTGCACCATAAGCACATTGTCAAGTTCTCCCACTACTTTGAGGACTCAGAGAGCATCTACATCTTCCTGGAGCACTGCAGTAGGAAGGTCAGTGCTGCTGTGGCCTCCTTGTCAAAGGATCTCCTAGACAGCCATAGCTGGTTGGAGCAGGCCTTACAGAGGTGTTTGTTAGCAGTCCCCTTCTCCTGAGCTGTCACACCCTCTGAGCTCACCCTAAGCAGAGTGGTTTTGCACGGCACTGGGCACTCCAGCAGCTCTCTGTCTTTCTTGGACTGCCTGCTCATGGTGTGGCCACCATAAGTCCAGAGGTTCCCATGGCTCTGACAAGCAGCCTCAACTTCATGTGGGGAGTCAGCTGAGGTCATGGCTGTGAAAGAAGGATTATTTGTGAATGTGCAACTTCTGGAAGAACTGGCTTTGACCCTGCCTACCCTGTGCCTAGTCAGCAGGGCTGTCTGTTCTCCCTTCCTGCATCACAAGCTGTCTTCTCTCCCTTTGCAGTCCCTGGCCCACATCTGGAAGGCCCGCCATACTCTGCTGGAGCCCGAAGTGCGCTATTACCTCAAACAGATCATCTCAGGCTTGAAATACCTTCACCTCAAGGGCATCCTGCACAGAGACCTCAAGCTTGGTGAGTGCTGTGGTTGGCACGTGGTGTTGTGTGGGGAGCAAGCTGCCCCAAGGGACTTGTGGTGACGCATCGCCCTTGACTTGCAGGCAACTTCTTCATCAATGAAAACATGGAGCTGAAAGTGGGGGACTTTGGGCTGGCTGCTTGCCAGGATGTCTCTGACCAGAAGAAAAAGTACGTTTGAGGTTTTCCTTATTCAGAATCCTCCAGGGTTTCACTCTTCTTCCTGTGGCTTCCCAGGAGAGTGGAGGGGCAAGGGGTCCCTCCTGGTCTTGGGAGAAGCAGCCTTAGGGCCCCTTCCTGGGGTGAGGGAGCAATTCCTGCTCCAGCTGCAGGCAAAGCGAGGGGGCTGGGGGCTTTGTGGCTCCTCCAGGAATGAGCTTGCAGCCGTCGGGGAGAACAATGTGTTGACTACTGCTATTGTGCCTGCCTGGCTGCCGTGCCGGCTGCACAGGCTGGGACACAAAGGCTCTGTTCCTCCTCAGCTCTGGGACAGGCTCTTCCCAACAGCTCCCCAAGAGCAGCTGCTGCTGACCTCCGTGAGCTGGAGAGGAGAGAGTCTTTATGGGCCTCCTTATAGATGGAGAGGGGGCCACAAAGAGCAAAATGGAGTGGGGGGAGGACAAGGCTGTAAGCTAAATCCCAGGGCTAGGGGGAGGCTGTCTGTGAGGGGATGAAGATCCTGCACTGATCTGGTGCTCTGCCCCACAGGACAATATGTGGGACCCCCAACTACCTGGCCCCAGAAGTGCTGCTGAGACAGGGCCATGGGCCAGAGTCGGATGTGTGGTCTCTGGGCTGTGTCATGTAAGTCTGTGCTGCTGGCTGGAGAGGGGTCCAGGCACCCAGCCTGGGCTGGGGGCAGCGGCTCCGTGGGCAACACAATGAGGAAGTTTTCGTGTGCCGTGCCTTGTGGCTCTGCTGCGGTTGCTGAGAGGCAGGGGGAGGGGAGCAACTGGCTGGATCCTGCTCAGCCTTACTGTGGAGCAGGTGCTGCCTGTAGCCATCCTGGGATGCTGTGTGGGGACTGTGCAGGCAGGACCTGCATGGGGTGGGTGTGCTCATGCCGCACTTGGCTCCCGTTCAAAGCAGGCTTGACCGCACTGTGAACCTGATAAACAACGGAAAATCTGTGGCTGCCGCGCTGTTTGCTCAGGGAGCGATCGCTGTTTCGGCACATCCAGCCCCTCACCCGGCTGCTGCCTGCTCCATTTTCCACCCTGATGGGTGGGAGCAGCGGGTGGCCTTTGCCTGCCAGCTCTTTGTCCTTCCTCAAGGCTCCTTGCCTGTTGCTCTAACAGTTGCTAGGAGGAAGCATGGCCGGATGTGAGCGTGGCTATCGGGGCTGGAAGTGCTGTTCTCAGCCAGGTGTGGCCAGCCAAATGCCAATAACTTCCTTGCTTTAAGTGCTGCTGAGTCACAAGCCTGGTGGGGATCTGACAGTGGCATGCATGTTCCCTCCCAGGTACACCCTGCTGTGTGGGAACCCTCCCTTTGAGACCTCTGACCTCAAGGAGACCTACAGGTGTATCAAGCAAGTGGAATACACCCTCCCCGTCTTCCTCTCCCTGCCTGCCAAGCACCTCATCACTGGCATCCTCAGACGCAACCCCCAGGACCGCCTCACCCTTGAGGAGATTTTGGACCATGAGTTCTTCAAGGTGAGTGGGTGGGGGCCTGGGTCAAGAGACCCTTCACCAGGTGGCATTTGAGGTTTTTTTGGGCTGTGCAGGGTGCTGTCCTTGTCCTGTACAGTGTCAGTCCTTCAAAGGAGGCAGCTGCTGTCCTGCCCAAATGCCAGACAGAGGAACTGAGGGATCTGCTGTGCTTCTGCTGCCTTGTTGCTATAGCAAGGGGTTGTTTCCTGTGCTGATGCCAGTCATGGTTCTGAGGCTTGACGGAAACACAAGCTGGCTGTCAGGAGGGCTGTGAATGACTGTGGTCAGCCCAGGGCAGCTGCTCTGCCTGGAGCATGTGGCCTGTGGAAACCAAACCTCTCTTGACCTCTCTGCAGGGCTACACTCCTGAGAAACTCCCTCCCAGCAGCTGTGTGATGGCTCCAGAGTTGAGTCCCCCAAATCCTGCAAAGACTCTGTTTGCTAAAGTCACCAAGACACTCTTCAGGAAGAAGAAACCCAAGGGTAAGTGTGCATTGCCAAGGAGCCTCTGGGTGACTCTTCCTTCAGGAAGAAGTAGATCCTGTTTTCTGGAGAGACCTCCTGATGGATCTCTCTGGACCCCATGCCTGGGTACAGCACAGGCTGGGTGTGCCCCTGCCTTTCTTGTGCTGGTGGCCTGGCATGGGTGTGTGCCTGGAGAGCGGATACTGTGCCGCAACCCATGGGGCAGTTCCTCCTGGAAGTCCTTTGTTGCATGAGAACTGGGAAGTGAAAGTGGGAGGCAGCTGTCTGACACCCTCCTTGCCTCCATGGGCATGGGAACGGATAAGGGAGAGCTGAGCTACTGGGAGGGGTGGCCTGGATGTTGCCAGCCTCTATGCTCAGCAGTGTACTCATCTCTTGCTCTCTCCTCAGCCAGGAAAGGCTCTTCAGAGGACAGGGATGACCTCTCCAAGCTGGTTACTGGGCTGATGAAGACCTCAATCTGTCGGCAGATTAGCTATAAAACTGTGGAAGGGAATGAGGTGAGAACATCTCCGAGGCCATGCATGCCCTTGCTTGGCAGAGCAGGCAGACCCTGATAAAGCCCGGTCTCTCCACAGGCCACTCCGGTATCATGCCGCAGTGCGAGCTCCAGCCCCGTGGAGACAGTGGTGGAGGAGACATCTCACAAGTCTGCATCTCCCTCCATCCGGGGAACGATGGCCAGCAGCTGTGAAGGTGAGCAATACCTGTCCCAGCCACCCCAGCCTGCCCCAAGCTTCCTGTCATGCCTGGGCTGATAGTGGGGCCAGCTGACTCAGCCTGTCATCTTCTCCCCACAGCCTTTGAAGATTGCATCACTGCCTCAGCCATCATTGAGTCAGCTGTCCGGCTCCTGCGGAACTGCCTCTCCTCCATGCCTCCAGGTAAACTGGTTGGACTGCTCTGGGATGGGATAGGGGGCTGTGCATCCCCTTCCCTGTGGGATGACGGCATGGCTGCTACTCGGATAGCAGATGGTGCCAGAGCCTGCTGTAGGGATCTGTTCCCTCTGGGCAGGTGAGATGGACAGGGGCTGGCTGGCTGCACTGCTCACCTCCTCTCTTCTCCAACAGCGGAGAAAAACCCAGCTTCCCTGGCCCGCCATGAGCACTTTGTCTGGGTGAGCAAGTGGGTGGATTATTCCAACAAGTATGGCTTTGGCTACCAGCTCTCCAACCGCAGCATTGGGGTCCTCTTCAACAATGGCACGCACATGACGCTTTCCCCCAACCACAGGTGAGCAGTGGGAATGGGGCTGATCTGTCTCTAGGAGAGTCCCTTGGGTGGGAAGGGGAGTCTGTACCATCCCCAAAACTTGTGCTCTGCTCCCTCCAGGACTGTACATTACAACCCAACCAACAGCAAACACCTGGTGTTCTCTGTGTCTGCCATCCCCGAGCAGCTGCAGGGACAGATGAGTGTCTTGCGCTACTTTGCGTCCTACATGGAGCAGCATCTCATGAAGGTGAGTGCTGGACATTGGGTTATGGCTTGACCACACCGCTTGAGCTGGTTGGACTCCCTGCTTGCAGCTGTGGCCAGGTGGACACACAGGGCTGTGCCCTGGGAGGGGGGACTCCACTGAGGGGGTACCCAGCTCTGTTGTGTGCACTGGTGGAAGTGCTCGCATGTGTGGGACCAGTGTCTTATGCAGACCCTTCTCTCAAAGGGAGGTGACCTGCCCAGCATAGATGACCTTGGACAGCCAGCCCTGCTCCTCCTGCAATGGGTGAAGACTGACCAAGCCTTGCTCATGCTCTTCAGCAGTGGCACCCTCCAGGTATGTGTGGGGCACAGTGGAGATGCCCAGACCCTTGTGAAGAGGGGGCCAGATAGGGGTCTTCTGGTCTGTGTTGGAGCTCGTCTGCCACAGCCCAAATGGAAAATCCAGCTGTGAAAACAGCTGTGGGTGCAGGATGTTGCTCCAGTGCCTGGAGCTGCTGGTTGCAGCTTCCCCAGCCCATGGAGAGACATAGCACTTCAGTTGGATGCTTCTGTCTGCCCCCGTGCTAGGGCTGGCTCATTCCTGCCATGGGGCATGGGCAAGGATGCTCCCGGGCAGGTTGGGGAGGAGGAACGGGTTGAGGCAGGAAATGTGGCTTCATCCTGGCTCCCAACATGCTGTGGGAAGCATGGCTTAAACCAAGCCCAACCTGTCTCCTAGGTGAATTTCTACAACGACCACACCAAGGTGATCATTAGCAAGCCTGACCACTCCTGCCTTGTCACCTACATCAACCGGGAGCGCAACTCTTACACTTACAAGCTGTGCAGCATCCAGGAGCTGGGCTGCTCTCCTGAGCTCCACCACCGCCTCAGATACATCCTCAAGCTTCTCCAAGAATGGGCTGAGGCCTAGCCTGGGACCTTGGGGGGACCCTGTCTGGACTTGGAGGTTTCCCCCTGCCCTCCCATGGGATGGGAGGGATGATGTGGTGCTGGCTATCCCCCTGAGCGCCGTGTATCCTGGTGCTCAGCTGGACTCTGGACTAAGACATGTGGATGTGGTTACAGGATATGCTTGCTGCTCCCTGGCTCTGAGCAATCGCTGTCTTCCCACTGGCAGCTCCTGCTCTGGTGGTGTTGGTCTTGATGGAATGGACTGGGGTGTTAGAGGGAGGTGGTGGTGGATGAGTGTCCTGCAGCTGGGTTTGGGGCTGGCTGAGCCTTGTTTAGGGCTGGCAACAACTACCTGTGGTGGAGGCTCAGGCTCCCCTGTCCCAGCTGATGCATCAGTTGCACAGACCTTCTGCATGGCCTGGACATGGCTGGCACAGTTTTGATCTCAAACTTCAGGTGCTGTGGGATAGGAAAACCCCTTCCCAGGAATGGGCAGGGGTGAAGGGTGCTGTCTGCCCTGCCAGGGGCTCTCTGGGCTGGTGTGTGCCACTCCACAACTGTTACACTAAGGAGGGAGTTGTGCTGGGCCCAGCTGTGCCCAGTCTCTTCTCAATTTGTGAATTGTCTGGTACAACCTGAGGTTTGATAAAGGGTGGGGGATGGGATCTGAGGACTTGCCTGGAGAAGCCCTCATTTTGTTGGGACCCAGGGTTGTTTCTTATTTCAAGGCAGTCTCTGCCATGTGGGACTATTTATGTATCTTATTTATATGGAATTATTTATTTTCCTGTTGGTCTGTCCATGTGCAGTTCCCCTCTCCCTGAGTCTCCTCAATAAAAACTTACTTGTGTAAGGGCAAACTATGTCTGCCTTATTTGAAGCTAGAGTCACAAAAGGGCTTCAGCATCATTCTTGCTCCCGAGCTGCTTCTGCCTGTTGGGGATGACCCTTCTTGCCACTGATTGCTGCTGGGCAATAAGGTCAGGGAGGCAGGATGGCCATGAGGAGCCCTTGTGGTACCTCCACTGCCTTTCATGGGACTGGCACAAAGGGCACAGTTAGCTCTTGCTTATGCTGGTAGAGCCTTGGAGCTGCCTCAAGTTCTCCTTGCTGCTGCCAAACGCATTCCCAGTCTTTTCTGTACTTGGACCCAACCCAGCTGCTCTCCTGATTCTGCTGAGCTGCAGAAGGCAGGAGCTGTGACCCAGGTGGTGGAGGGGTTGCCTGAGCCCTTGCGTTGACATTTCGTGTGATGGGATATGAGCTGGGCATGAGGCCAGGAAAGAGCTCTGTGAGCTTGCTTTGAAGGTGATCTGTGTAATCAATCTGCCTGGGAGCAGCTTGGGTTGTGGGAAGCAGCCTGGGCTGCTCCAACAGCCTTGGGCAGTTGCCTGTTCCAGGGAAATCCAGCCTTTTGTTGTGTTTGCTGCTGCCCCGGTCTCTTTGCAAACCGTAGTAATGGGAACTGCAGTGTGGGTGTGAGCTGAGGCTGGAGTGAGCATCCCTATCTTGCTCCTTGCACACACCCTGGCCCAAGACTCCAGGTATGGCACACAGCTGTATGAAAGATCTTTATTTCAGCTGCTCTTTCCCTACAGCTCTACAAGACTTGGTGGACAGAGAGGCATGTGCTACTCGAAGTAGAGCCCATACACTGTGGCCACAGCAAAGAGGGAGGCGTTGGAGAAGGTGGCAGAGGCAAAGCTGTCAGTCTCAGGGTCCCATAGTCCCCGGCTGGCCACCAATAGGCCCTGCTGGCCCTGCTGGCCCAGCACCACGTGGCAGACCAGCTTGTAGCGGGGTGGCACCACCTCCTTGGCCTGGTTCTGCAGCAGCTCAGTCAGGCTCTGGGCTAGTGGGGCATTGCCCTGGGGACTGTATACACTGCTCCCCAAGGCACGGGCCAGGGTCCCCTCCAGCACCCGCTGCACCCGCTCTGCGTCAAACTTGCAGCCTTTGTCTGGTCCCATTCTGTAAGTGTTTTCAAGACGGGTCTTGAGGATGGGTTGGAAAATTGGGAGCCCAGAGAAGCTAACATGTCTGTGGAGCATCCCGGGGCCAAGGGAGGGACGCCTGCTCCCCGGGACCATCCCGAATGAGCTGCGGCGGCTGAGGATGGAGTTGCGGCGGGAGAGCAGCGCGGGTGGTTTGCTGTCCTCAGTGCCCCGGGCTGCGGGCTGGGACCCACGGCGTGTAGTGCGGAGTGAAGGGGCTTCAGAGTTGGCTGCAGCCAGCACCTGGGCTAGCAGGGCTGCCTCTGGGACAGGCTGCTCAGCCATAGGGGTGGCCTGCAAAGGAGATGTACCTGAGTGTTAGGTGAGGCAGATGTCTTGTAGCCTCTCCATTCTCTTGCCTCTCTGCCTCACTTCTCCCTGCCCTCTGCAAATCCCATGCCTTCTGGCATGTGAATCTCTGTGAGATGACACGCAGAGGGGCTGGGAGATCCATGGCAGCTGTCTTCCCTTCTCCAGTGCCTCCATGCCCATCAGACCCAGCCAGCTGGGGCTGATCCAGTGCAGTAATGCATGGTCCACACAACCCTCTGCTCTCTCATCCCCAGCCCTTCCCCTGGCACAGGTGAGTGACTCTTTCCCCAGTGTTCTGGTCTGCATCTGATCCCACACTTACCCTAAGTTCCACTCCTGTCCTTGCAGAGTAAACCAGGGGAATTGTCTCTGGTGGATGTCACTGCCCTGGACCAAACTTTATCTTGCAAGTTGCTGTGAGCAGGGCCAAACCTGTTGTGCTCCTGGAAGGTGAAGTGTTGCTACACAACACTAGGTCTCCAGGGCTGTTCTGGGGCATGGCTTCTGTAACTCCTTGTTTCCTGGTCCCTGGATAGCCCTGTTCCCCTTCACTCCTGCCCTCTCTGCATTTTCAGCTGTGTCAGCACAGGGATGTGGTTATTCCAGGTGTGTGCCCTCCAATCTCAGCTCCCTGCCAGCCCTGAAAAATGCAAGCTGGTGTTAGATGTGTAAGAGAAGAGCAGGGGGTGGAGAGTATCAACTGTAATCCCTACTTTGTGCCCTGACCATGGGCTGCAATGGGGCTGAGCCCTCCAACAGATTGATTTTGTCAGACATTTGCATCCTTAGGCTACTTATGCCCCACCGCACCAAGGGAGAGTGTGCATGGGTGGACACCATTCAATCATATAACCACATAGTGAGTTGTGTTGGAAAGGACCTTAGAGATCATCTAGTTCCAAATCACCTGCAATGGGCAGGGATGCCACCCCTAGAGCAGATTGCTCAGAGCCCTATCCAACCCAGCCTTGAACACTTCCAGGGACTGCATGGAGCACAGCCCTGGCACATGCCAGGGACTCTGCTGCTGTAATGCCTGTGGGGTGAGCAGGTCCCTGGGGGCTCCTGACCCTGGCTGGAGTTTCTCTCTGCCAGTGGAGCCCAGCCCAGCTGGTACGACACAGCTGTTCCATCAATGTGCCTTTGTCTGGCCTGGCTGCTGAGCTATTTGAGGAAAAGTGGAGACAGCTTTTGTGTTTCTATCTCCGGTCGGAGGTATTTATAGCCTGCCTCTGACTAGCGCTGCCAAGCACACTGCCAGCTAGACCCCATTCCCTTGGGTACTGCCTCAGCTCCGAGCCCCATTCCTGCCTCTCCTTCACACCACTGACAAGCAAGGGTGGATCCCTCCGTGGACAGTCCCCTCCTTGCGCTGCCTGGGGCCAGCCAAGGGTTGGAGAATGTCACAGGACTCGGTTTGGGCTTAGATGAGCAGGTTGTTCTAGTGGGCTGATCTATGGGTGGTATCCCTGCCCATGGCAGGCGGGTTGGAGCTAGATGGTCCCTTCCCACCCAAGCCTTTCTATGAGGCTGGTGATGCTTTTTTTCTGCCTGCAAGCACCTGTACCCTAAGCAGACATGAGAGCTGCAGGGCTCTGGCCTGGAGCATCGCAGGAGAGAAGGTTTCCCCCATTTCAGGGGACAAATCTCCCTGCCAGTGCTGCTGTTGGGGACTCAGCCATGCCCAAGGGCTTTCCATGGGGCCGTGCATGTGCTGCCTTTTCCAAAATCTCAGCTGGCTGCGTCTCTTCACCTTATCTCTTTGCTCCGCAGCAAAGCCACCAGCTTGGGCCGCAAAGTCCCTGTGCCAGGCGTGCCGGAGCCATGAAACACGGCAAGGAATTCCACTCGCTGCGAGGCGCAAGCCAGGCACGGAGCCGCCTCGGCAGCAAGGCCGTGCTTCACGCCTCATTGTCCCGTCGCTGCCTGCCAGGTTCCCCCAGCAATGGGCCGTGCCGTCCGACGCAGCTCCCTGGCTCCCTCCCCGCGGCTCCCGGCCTCCGGGCAGTTCCGCGCTCCCTCCCGCCATCCCCCGGCCCGCCCGCGCCTCCTTCCGCCGCTCCCTCAGGCCGCCCATGGCCGGGCCCTGCTCGGCGCGGCTGCAGGGCGACGCGGCCGCCTTCAGCGCTGCCCTGCGCACCCTGGTCAACAACCCCCAGTTCAGGTGAGGGCCCGGGGCGCGCCGCCTCCCCCCAGCCCCGCCGAAGCTGCTCCGTGCTGTTTTCCCCAGCCCCGAGCCCTCCGCGGTGTTTCCCCACACCCCCGAGCCCTCCGCGCTGTTTTCCCGAGCTCTCCGTGCTGTTTTCCCCCAGCCCCGAGCCCTCCGCGCTGTTTCCCCACACCCCCGAGCCCTCCGCGCTGTTTCCCCACAGCCCCCAAGCCCTCCGTGCTGTTTCCCAGCCCCGAGCCCTCCGTGCTGTTTTCCCCCAGCCCCGAGCCCTCCGTGCTGTTTTCCCCCAGCCCCGAGCCCTCCGTGCGGTTTCCCCAGCCCCGAGCCCTCCGTGCTGTTTTCCCGAGCCCTCCGTGCTGTTTCCCAGCCCCGAGCCCTCGCAGCGGCGGCGGTTGGGGCCCGCGGGCACTTCGGGGAGCTGCGGGCAGCTGGTGGGGCCGCCGTGGCTTGTGCAGCGCTCCCCGCACACCCGCATGCCAGCAGGAGTCCCGGGCTGCCCGGGTATAGCCCACCCTGCACAGCCATCATCTCTCAGGAGGAGGGAAAGTTCTCAGGAGTGCCCAGACCCCCTCTGTCCCCAGGCATGGTGCCAACAGGGCAGTAATCCCAGGATAAATCCTGTGCTTAGGCTCTTGCCCTTGCTGGGAATGGGGGTACATTGAGCTCCCCAGGGGCAGCTTTCTCACTTGCTCAGTTCCTCTCCCACCTGGCTTTACTGGTGTTTTATCCCCAGAGGGCATGTGACAGCCTGGCATCCCTCCTCACAGGGTGTGGCATTCCTGCCACCTCTTGCCAGAGCAGAGATGGAGATGCTGCTTTGGCTTCCCTCACCCACATGGTATGTCCTGCCTGGCTGTGGTCCTCTTCACCCACTTCCTGCTGAGGTCTGGCCAGCCTATCTAAGGAATACCAGAGCTATCTAAGGAAATCCCCATTCCTGCTGAAATTTTTGGCCACCCAGAAGAGAAATCCCAGTGAAAACTCCCCAGACACAGCACCAGGAAGTAGAGGAGTGGCTGACAGTGCCTGGTTATTCTCAGCCTACGTCCTGCTGCTCACATCTTTCAACCCATACCTCTTATCCAGCATCCAGCAATCTGCATCCTGCAACCTGAAATCTGTGCTCTGCATCCATCTATTTCATCCCACATCCTGCATCCTATCTCCTGTAGCCTGTACTTCACAGCCTGCACTCTGTAGCCTTTGTTCTGCATCCCACATCCTACAATCTTCAGTTTGCACCCATCCTGCAGCCTGTGTCCTTCATCCCAGACCTTGCATGCCATCATCATAGCTGGCATTCCACATCTCACAGCCTGCATCCTGCATTCTCCTAGCTCCTCTTGGCCTGTGGACCTCAATCACAGAACAGTTTATCATGATCCCCTTTGCAGGAGCAGTCATGGAGGACCTGCTGGGCTCTGCTCACAGCAGCCATCCTGCCCAGCTGTGTATTTCCTGATAGACATATGGGATGACCCAGGTGTCCTTCCTCCGGGTGGTCACATACACTTCCCTGTAGGACACTCTGAGGGTCAGGTCATGGATTTGTGCATGTCCTCATGGCAGTGAGAGTTTGGGTGGCATGTCTTCTGCTCATTGGCCTGCTGGGATGGAGAAAGGAAAAACGGGATAGATGGGCTGTAGCCACAGATGTGCTCAGGCTGGAGACTCCATGTCCTTTGCCTGCTTCTTTTTCCCTGATCTGGCCCCGCTTTCATGGGGCCATGGAGCTGGGGAAACATTTTGGGGAGGGGAGGGTTATAGGGAATCAGGGCAACAGGATGGTCCCTGTGCTTTAGTGTATGCCACAAGCTGTCCTGTTGCGCCAGTGCCAGCCCTGCTGGCAGCTATGCCAGAGACTTCACATCCCTGAGACGATGAGTCAGTTCCCATGAGTCAAGGAGGCTGATCCTGATGACAGTGATGCTTTCCTTGGCTCTGCTATGCCAAAAGAGAACGTCACTTTCTCTAGCTGTCCTTGGCCTTTCTCTGCCCTGCTCGGTGCCAGCACCCAGGGCTCTCCATGCTTTCCAGAGGATCTGTCATGCTCACCTCACCTTCAGCATTCAAATGGCTGGAAAGAGCCACCAACAAGGTCCCCTCTGTTCCCCTGTTGGGACAAACCCCTGGGTTAAAAGTAAAGGGTACTGCCCTGCTGTGCCAGGCACTCAGCAGGGCCCTTCCTGTGTGCCCTGTGCCAGCCCAGGGAAGGCTGTGCCCTTGCTTTCCAGGCACAGTGTCCCTCACGGTCCCCTCTCCCCTGCAGCGATGTGATGTTCGTGGTGGGCCAGGAGCAGCAGAAGGTGTTTGCGCATCGCTGCGTGCTGGCGTGCCGCTGCCAGGTGTTCCGTGGGATGCTCAGCCAGGCACCAGTGGGCAGCCAGGACTCCTCCAGCAGCATCCAACCCCAGGGCCCTTTCATCCTGGGCAACGTGCAGCCTGAGGTCTTCTTGGCCGTCATTGAGTTCCTCTACACCAACAGTGTCACCCTCAACAGCCACATAGTGAGTGGGGATGGGGCTGGTGGGGACCATGGACATGGGAGGGACAAGAAGGGGATGCAGGGAAGGGGGTGCTTTGCAAGTCTTGGTGTGCCAGAGTTGGAGGAGATGGTCTGTGTGATGGTCTCTGGCTGGCTAACAGGGTAATGAATGTGTGGGGTCTCAACCCAGCACAGTGGGGTGTCCACTTGTCCCAGTCTTGGGACCTCTGGCTGTACATACCCTGGATGGTGAGAATGGGGATACCACAGCAGGAAACTTAAATTTTTCTCCATGCAGCAGCCTTATCTCCCATGCCCCACTCCCATGTGGAGCTCCCGTGGAAGCTGGAGCACACCTGCCCTTTACCCTGCTGTGCCCTTTACCCTGCTGTGCCTGTCCATGGCCCCCCACGCTGATGATCACAAGGTCCCTCTTGCCTGCAGGCACTGGAGGTGCTGACCTCATCGGTGGAGTATGGCTTGCAGGACCTGTGCAAGGTACAGTGCTGTTTGGGCTGAGGGCAGTGGTCCCTGAGTGTTCCCAGTCCCTGAGTGTTCCCAGGTTTGACAGCACCCCAAGATGGTCCCTGCATGGCTGGTAGCTGGAGGTGCCTCTGAGGAAAGCACTGTGGAGCATCATGCAGGCTTGGCCCTGTTTCTCGATCCTAGAAGGTCTCTCCAGTGGGATTCCCCTTGAGTGGGTGAAGCAGCGGGGAATCCCACAGGGGAATCCCGAGAAATCATAGAGAATGACATAGAGTTTCACATCTCCTGCACAGCAAAGGTCAGAAGGAAAGCCCCTGTGACTTTGCCAGCACGTGCTGCCCCGTCATCTGACAGGATGATGCAGTTAAAGAGAGCCCTGATCCTTGGCAGCAGTCAGCACCTCAGCTGTGGTGCTGCCAAGGCAATGCTGCTTTGGGTGGGAAGGTTTTGGGAAGGCAGCAGGGAGCAAAGAGGAGGGGTGTGAGCTGAACAAGGAGGGGCCGGGGAGCTGAAGCAGCTCAATGCTGGGGAGGGTGGCCAGGCCACGTCATCACCAGATTCCTGAATTACAGCCTGGCTGAACGCGTGATCCGACATCTCACACCCAGACTTCCCCTCCCTCCCCACTGCACTGGGAAAGTACCTCAGGAACTGAGGAATTGTGGGCTCCTGTCTGCCAGTGGTGGAATGGGACCTGTGGAAACAAGATCAGCCAAAGCCCAGATGTGGCAGAGAGCTGTCAAACAGCTGGGAAGGGAAGGGATATAAGGAGTGTAGCAGAAAAGGGGGACCTGGTGCTCCTATCACGAGTCACATCTCACTACCCAGCAAATGCCTCCTGAGGGGGATGACCTGCATAGGGGAGGGGTGGGAGGGAAAGGGGCTGGTCAAGGACAGCTGGTGAAACCATGTCAATGTGCCCAGCTGCAGGGTGACCTCATATCCCTCCTGCCAATGACTCAGGGCCCTTCTGCCCCAGCTGACAGCTCCTCCCTGCATGTCACATCCCCTTGGGTTTCCCAGGGACTCTGGTAGGCAGCTGAGATAAGCAAGAGAGAGAGGTCCCACTCACTGATAAACATGCTGGTCTGGCTGCATTCCACCTGCATCATCCATGTAGAGGGTGTAGCTGGAGATGCTGGTCCCAGAGCACAGCTGGCAAGCAGGACTGGGGCGCAGCTGAAGCCAGCAGTGCACTTCAGCTGGCACCAGGATTGTGCCCTATGGCAGAACATGGATGGCATCTGTAGACAGGATTAAGGGACCCACCTGGGGCGATCAAATTGGCTGGGTTTGGTCACATCAGTCTTGGTCCCTGGCTCCATCAGTGGCCAAGCTGGCTGCCCATATCCACACTGCAAGACTTCATCCTACAGGCCATTGCTTACAAAATAAGCATAAGCCATTGCTTATGAAATCCTGGGAGACTGGAGATGCCTCTGCCCCACATTCCATGTGCTGGGGCTTAGGGGATGCTGAGAGTTGTGTGGGGGGATGGCAGGGTTGTGTCCCCAGCTCTGCCCACCCTCCCCCTGTCTGCCTTACAGCTCTGTGTCAAGTTCATCAAGGACACACTGAGTGTGGAGCAGGTCTGCGAGGCCCTGCAGGTAAGAGTGACACCAGTAGGGTCATAAGGTCTTAAAAATAGTCTGTACAATTTCGGGGCAGGAACAGACTTGACCCTTCTGTTCTGGACACTCAG